GGGGGGAGTGGGGGAACCAGCCTAAGCAGACCCACTCCCCAACCACAAGACACCACCACAGGGAGGGGGAAGCAACCCACAACCACACCACACCACAGGGAGGGGGAGGAGGAACCATTGGGGGGGGAGGGGGGGGGGGCCGGCCGAACCGGGATCATATATGGGCATTTGGCCTCCTAGGATAAGGTAGTTTGTCCGTGAGCAATCGAAGCCTGAATCTTCTAATGCTAGCCCAGTAGCAGATATGCAATCCCAAAATTGATGGGTTCGGGTTCCAGAGAGTCTTCCCCAATCTTGTTTGAGATATTCTGGCGTCTATCTCAGTAGCTTAGCAGGCATTGTAAGAAATTTGGGGTTTGATACATGGTCGCCTGCACTCGATAGTGCTGTCATGGTTGCAGCTAAACCCAGATGAGGATGCACAGATCCTTCGCGGCGGCAGGAGCAGAAAGCCTGTCCGAAGGACCACAACCCTAAACCCTAAACCCCAATTGGGCAAGAGCATTGACATGAATTTTTCTGCTAGACTGAGTGCTGCAGTGGATCTTCGTCCCAAACCTGACACCTTCTCCCCCACAGGCTGAAGAGCAGCTGCCTGCAGAAGAGCTGGTTTGGGGTTTAGGGTTTAGCAGGTGGCTGATAACTAGGGTTTAGTTTAGTGTTAGGGGGCATGATGATTAGGGTTTAGGGTTTAGGGTTTAGGGTTTAGGGTTACGGGTCATGATGAGTCGGGTGTGGGCTTGAGGGTCTTGGCAAGGATGAGGACATGAACACTCGCAGGCTTTCCAAAGGGTTCGAATATCAGTTCCTAACATAGATCCCTACATTCTCCTGTTTAGGTACTTAGGAACCCTTTAAAGGTACCCTGAACCCTAAGCCCTGAAAGGAACCCTTGAAGAAACCCAGCCATTGTAGGTACTTTGGGCCCTTTGGACATGAACTTTCAATAAGCCAACAATGCCCTGACGGGCGCGAATAAACTCTAAACCCTCAAACCCAAACCCTAAAACCCTAAACCCTAAGTCGTGATAGACGGTGGAAGCCCAAAACCCTCGGACCCTAAACCCATAAAGGAGTCCTTCGACCTTAGAGGAAGCCTCAAAGGAACGACGAAAGAAACTCTAAGAGGAACCCTTAAAACGAATCCTTAACGGGACCTTCGAGGAACCCTAAACCCTAACACTATAGGAACCCTTAAAGGAGTCGTTACAGGAATCCTTAAAGGAACCCTAAACCCAAAGCCACAAACCCGAAATCCTAAACCCTAAGACCTAAGCCTTAACCCCTAAGCCCTAAACCTTAAGCCCTAAGCCCCAAACCCTAAATCCTAAGCCCTAAGCCCTAAACCCTATAACCTTAGCCAGCCCTAAGCCCTAAACCCTAAACCCTAAACCCCAAACCCTAAGCCCTAATTCCTAAGCCCTAAACCCAAAATGACCCCAGAGTCCTGGGCAGAAGCCAAGGCTCTCTCGCAGCCTCGGGGTGCGAAAGTTCGTCTCGGCGCTTCTTTGCTGCGACCCCGAGCAGAGGCTCAGATCTCGGGCTTAGGGCTTAGGGCTAAGGTTATAGGGTTTAGGGTTTGTGGTTTAGGGTTTAAGGGTTTAGGGTTTAAGGGCTTAGGGTTTAAGGGCTTAGGGCTAAGGTTCTAGGGCTTAGGTTGTAGAGTTTAGGGTTTAGGGCTTAGGTTATTGGGTTTAGGGTTTAGGGCTTCTGTTTTAGGGTTTAGGGTTTAGCGCTTAGGTTTTAGAGTTTAGGGTTTAGGGCTAAAGTTAGAGGGTTTAGGTTTTAGGGCTTAGGTGTTAGAGTTTAGGGTTCAGGGCTAAGGTTTAGGGTTTAGGGTTTAGGGCTTCTGTTTTAGGGTTTAGGGTTTAGGGCTAAGGTTATAGGGTTTAGGGTTTAGGGTTTAGGGCTTCTGCTTTAGGGTTTAGGGTTCAGGGCTAAGGTTATAGGGTTTAGGGCTTTGGTTTTAGGGTTTAGGGTTTAGAGCTAAGGTTATAGGGTTTAGGGTTTAGGGCTTAGGTTTTAGGGTTTAGGGTTTAGGGCTAAGGTTAGAGTTTAGGGTTCAGGTCTTTGGGTTTAGGGCTTAGGTTTTAGGGTTTAGGGCTTAGGGTTTAGGGCTTAGGATGTCGATTGTTTTTTCGGTGGTTTTATAAGATATTAGGGTTTCTGGTTTAGGTTTAGGGTTTGTCAGGATGAGGTTTAGGGTTTGATAAGATTTGAGTTTAGGGTTTGGTGGGTTTTAGGTTTAGGTTTTGGGGTTAAGGGTTTGAGGGGTTTGGGGTTCAGGGCTGCGGGCCCTTTTGCTCGCGTTCCTTGAGGGGTTCCTGTTACTTTCAGGGTTCCTTTGAGGGTTCGTTTATGGGTTCACGATTGTACCCGTAGAACCCTTATAGCCTTACGAATCCCTTATGAAACCCGCAAAGGAGCCCCACTAATCCCCTGTAGAACCCTTAAAGGAACCCCACTGATCCCTTACTGATCCCTTATAGAACCTTTAAGGGAGCCCTACGTTTCCCTTACTGATCCGCTATAGAACCCTTCAGGGAGCCCTGCGAATCCCTTACTGATCCCTTAAAGAACCTTTAAGGGAGCCCTACGAATCTCTTAAACCCTAAACCCTAAACCCTAAACACAAAACCCTAAACCCCAAACCCTAAACCCTAAACCCTAAACCGTATAGAACCACCACTCCTCGTTTCTTCGGGAGGCCCTCGGCCGTGGAAGCTCTGAGAAGCCCGTGGTTCGAGTTGACGACTGGCTGCAGGAATCCAGACCTTCCAAAATCGTTTAATTGATTTAGGGGTTTAGGGTGTAAAGTTTAGAGTTTAGGGGTTTAGAGTTTAGGGTTCAGGGCTTTGGGTTTAGGGTTTGGGGGTTTAGGGTTTGGGGCTTAGGGTTTAGATCCCAAATCCCCTAATTAAGGAATCTGCCAGGCTTCCTTAAAGGAACTACAGGGATCTATAACGGTTGTATTTGGGTTCTGTAAGGAAAGTAAGGAGCCTACTTTGAATCATGTTTGGGATCCGGCGGTTTAGTTTAGGGTTTAGGGATCCTTCAATTAAGAATTTATTAAAGTCTAAGTTATATGATTGTATGTTCCTTGATTATGGGATTTTGGAAGGTCTGGGAAGTTGAGCCTTCATGGGTTTTAAGTGAGGGGGGGGCCTTTGGGCTTTGGGGTTGTTTAGGTTCTAGGGCCGTCTAGAGTTTAGGGTTTAGGGGGCAAGGGGTTTTACGGGCTCGGTTGTTGTTGGGATTTGGGTTTTTCGTTGGGGTTGCGTTGGGTAGCTTGCGGGTTTGGAGTTCAGGGTTTTTGAGGTAGGGGGTTTAGGGTGTTTGTTGGTGGTGGCTTCGGGTTCGAAGAAGGGCTCAGGGTTTAGGGGTTTTGGGAATGAACTCCTGGAATGATGCAAGAAGTACATCCCCTAAGAATGGATTTCCCACAGAGCACCCTTGAGTAGTCCAGAGTCACGCGTTCATCAGCGATCTTTTTTGTCGATTCTTCCGGGGGTCTGGATACGCGGGGAGGAGTTTGGGGGTAGGGTTTGGGGTTTCGGCTGCGGGGCTTAAGGCATGCGGTTTAGGAAAGTGTAGGGTTTAGGTTTTGGACGGTGTGTTGTGCTATAGATCAAAGCTTTGCCAATGGCTGCGTAGTATTTAAATAGGGGCGTAAGCTCTGCGGCCCATTGGGGCCTAATGGGACCTATTGTGGCTTTCTCTGAAGAGTGCACCTTTTCCTAGTTGCAAACGTGTGGCGGCATCATCAACATCAAGAGTTGTTCCGTTCGTTCGAGTTTGTGTGCAACAGCTGAGATGTCAGTGTGTCGGAGTTGCTAAGCTGCAAGTACCGTGTGAGAGGCCGCAAGTAAAGCTAGCTAATGCAGGGGCAGGCAGGACAGGTTCCAGTAGAGTATGTCGAAGGCGTCGAATTTGAGTCGCTTGCTAGGGTGCTTTTCGAAGGACGGTTGCAATCAGTCTGTCCAGAGCCTTGTTGGTGACAGACATGCAGTGCAGTCGGGGCTCTATGCCCAGACATTTTCGGGAGAGGTCAGTGCAGGCCTGTGCCTGTTAGGCCTGTGTTGAAGAATAATTTCAGCCAGTCTACCGGATGCACTTTCGCACGACGCACGTGTGCAGCTACCATCCAGCAGTTTGTATAATCCACGGTGTTCTTGTTGCCGTAACAACATAGAGCACCGCATGATGCAGACGCCGTCGAAGAACATCAAGAAGATCTCGGGTCAACAAGTGCGCATGAAAGACTCCGTCGAGAAGCAACTGCTAGTGTTGAACTTCTTGGACAACCTCGAGGGCAAGACGCCTGCGAAGCAGACGAAGAGTCGCAGCAAAGAGGCCTGCGACAGCGAGCTCGAGCACGCTTCCGACGAGCCCGGCTTTGAGATCGGCGAGAAAGAAGAGCTTAATCGGCACGCCATGAAGTATTCAGGTTGGCGCAAGAGTTCATGCCTCCAGCTCCTATGTCGAGCCCAGCACGTTCCCATTCTAGTATCTTCTATTAGAGCGTACTAGAAGCGCTCGAAAATTTGTTGTTTTGAAGGGATCCGGGATACGCTATACAGGATCCATGAGGCATCGAGTTTCTATAAGGCTAACGATAATTAAAGGTGACGCTAGTCGTGGTTCATTTTGCTGAAACAATATCCCTGCCAAGGTACAGACCTGCCCGCGACGGGCTTACGCCGGAGTTGTTTCAGTCTCTTCTAGACTACGCAGAGGCGGCGCAGGGTTTAGGGTTTGGGGGCTTTAGGGCTTAGCCCTATAGTCCAAGTACCTAATAATCATACTTTCCCAATTACTAACCCATACAACTGATCTCCATAACCTAAGTACCAAATTATTGGGTCCTTTGGGCCCTTAGGGCTTAGGGTGTAGACAGCAATGCATATGGAAAGCTCCGATCGATACCCTACACCCTGAACCCCTGACCCGAAACCCTATATCCCTAATCCTTCAACCCCTATAAGCCGTAAACCCGAAGCCCGTTTCTTCACGGACTTTTGAGGGCTGGATCTCTTTAGTTACTGTAGTCCCGTTAAGGGAGGGATTTTCATGAGCAAGCGAGCCTACATTAGGCCTCAAGCCCCGGTGGACGGTAAACTGTCGTGCTTAGTCAAGACTCAGGTTCCACGGCGGTCTCGATCTATACCCTAGGGGCCCCAACAGTGAATTCCAAAAGATCCAAACCCTCAGCCCCGAACCACCTTTTGAGACGCAAGGCTCTGACAAGTGCATCACGGAATCATGTGTTTTGGGGCTTGCACCGTTTATACTTGGAGCATCAGGATAAGGACCGAGTTGGCGTGGCCACATCTTGGGGGTTTCTCAACGATCCAGACTCTCCATTTTGGGAAAATACAATCCGTAATAAGCTAATGGCAACAGGGTTTCATTCGCACTATCAGGTTCTCCGTACTTAAAGCAGAAAGACCCACAATGTGGAGGCTTGCACGCATGTTGGGATTTGAAGACGCAAGGTTCATCGTCGCATGAATATACACAGGTGTATCCATACTTTGGGGTACCTTAGGTGGACCAGCTGCCGCCGAAGGACTTGCCAATAAGAGCACTAGATTCATTCATCCCGTTTCAGGGCTTCGAGACGCTAAGCAGGCGAAATCTTAAGCCCTGAACGCGAAAAGCTCCGAAGAAGTAGAAGAGAAGGCCCCGACGTCAAGAAAAAACAGTCCAAACATGCATCTCCGAACCCTACTTGGGCCCTCATAAAACCTTCCCCTTTTTACTTTTATATGGGCCCTTAAAGGGTTATTTGGGGTCCAGCTAGTCACAGGTTCAAGGTTTTTGGTGGGTTCAGGCTCAGTGTTTTACGGTGTTAAAGGGTTGTGGATTGGTGAATTTCACAGGATTCTTGGGGGGTCGTTGTGCGCTCATACAAGTCTTCTGTTGACATGTGCTCGAGTTTAGGGCTTTGGGGTTTGGGTTTAGGGTTTAGGGTTTAGGGTCTGGATATTGTAGCAGGGTATCTTTGGGTCCTGGGATTTTTCTCGCGGCATTTGGGTCGTTAGGCTTATCTTGCGTGCACAACCCTCAAGCTCAGTGTGCCTTAAACCTCCAAGTCAGAACTTCGAGCCCAAGCACCTGAAGCCTGAACCAAAAGCGTTATTCCCAAAACCCAGCCTCACACCCTACAATTCAACTGCTGCATCAGGAGACACATTTCGTGAAGGCCCACGTGCCGTTACAAGCTGTGGAGAGGGTTGAGGGTTGGGGCTTTGTATTTGATGGGCTCGGGGTTGTTGTGAAGGATTCATGGTTTGGGGTTGAAGGTTTCAATGTTCGGCGACCCTTCTCTAGCCCTAGCTGAAGAGTCCTTGTGGTGGAGAACGAGTTTCTCAGCAATGGTGCATCGCAAGCAATGGTGTCGCTACGACCCATGGCCATAGCCCAGTCGCATCCGAACCGACTGCGAATCCTGAAACTCGTTTAGGGTTTAGGGTTTAGGGTTTAGGGTTTAGGGTTGGTGCAAGGCTGGGGGATTCGGATAAAGGGGTTGAGTCTATGGTTTCAGTTTCAGGGTGTGGATTTCAGGTTTCAGGGTCCATACAATAGTTCGTTAGTACTGTGGGGTTATAGGCATTGCGTTTCACATTTCAGGGTCCATGTCTTTGTTTGCCGCAGCTTTAATATGTTCAGGTTTACCCTATATAAGGGTCGAAGTACCTACAAAACTACTATCCCAGACGCAAGTAACTAATTTGGCTGGTTGGCTGGCTGGCTGGTTGGCTGGGTGGTCGGTTGGCCGGTTGGCTGGTTGGCTTGGTGTTTGGGTGGTTGGGTGGTTGGCTGGTTGGCCGGCTGGCTGGTTGGCTGGTTGGTTGGTGGGTTTAGGTTTTAGGGGTTGAGGGATTTGGGGCTTAGGGGTTTAATTAGGGTCAAGGGTTTGTAGGATATGGGTGCAATGGCCTAGCATTTGGGGTTTAAGAGTTCGTGTGCCTAGGAATTCCCGTGTACGCAAGTCAATTTATTTCGTGTCATTTTACTGCTGCACTTCTGCGGTACTGGTGTCGTATAACACGCCAAGAAACCTGCCTAGAAGGTACTGACGACACCCCAAGGCTGCAATCACTGCAATCCCAACCTGCAAAACCTCGCAGCCTACCTAAACCTGCGTAACAGCACGATTCGAGGCATGGGGCTCTAAGAATGCCCTTTTCTGGATTCGGGGTTTAGGGTGTAGGGAGAAGGTTGCTGGCCGAACAGTACTCAACGAGAGTCTGCAGAGTCAGCACACAGAACAACCCAAAACCCTAATCCATAAACCCTATAAGAGCCCTAAGCCCTAAAGCCATAAACCCCAAGAGCCCTAAACCCTAAGAGCCCAAAACCCAAAGCCCTAATCGGTTAGCCTTAACAGCTTCGGAGCCCTTGTAGACGTTCCGCAGCTCTCAGACCCAAGCACACCCCCAAAGGGATTACGCCGGGGTCAGAGCCCCATACATCCCTGCAGAAACCCGTGAGGGTTTAGGAATTTTGAGGCCTGTGGGGTTTAGGGGTTTAGGGGGGTTAGGGTTTAGGGCTTTAGGGGTTTAGGGTTTAGGGTTTTAGGGTTTAGAGTTTAGGGTGTATTAGGGTTTAGGGTTTAGGGCTTGTAGGATTTACAGACGATTCAGAAAGAAAGGTTTTGGCACAGCCGATGCATAGCCAAAGAGGAGCAGATGTTTCAGGTTACCCTTCATCTCACGACCCCCTTCAATGAGCGACACCGACTCATCCGCATCATCAGAATGAACCCTAAACTCCAAACCTATGAACCCTGAACCCTAAACCCTGAACCCTTAACCAAAAAACCCTAAGCCTATAAACCCGAAACCTACATAAACCCTGAACCCTAAACCCTGAACCCTAAACCCTAAACCCTAAACCCTAAACCCTGAACCCGACGACATTTGAAGAGACTACGGGTTCCTCCTTTGGTGGCAACGCTAGGCCAGGCAGGTGGTAGAGGAGCCGTGCCTCCTTTGATAGGAAGTGATACGAAGGACCTATAACCCCTAAGAGTTTAGGGTTTAGGTCTTAGGGGCTAAACACTCAACCCTAAACCCTAAACCCCGAAACCTTTAAGTATTTCAACCTCCGGCTCCGATAAACCCTGAGCCCTGAAACCCTGAACTCCGAACCCCTAAACCCTATAAGGCCCTATACCGTCGTGCTGAGTGCAGGTTTGCTTGCTGCTTATCGCTGCCCGTCTGGGTAGTGCAACGTTGCTGCAACGACTTTGGGTTTGGGGTTTAGGGTGGCCCTAAACTTGACCCTAAACGGACGAGCCCGGCTACCCAGGTCGTAGATCTACCGGGCTACTAGTATGGGTAGTATACGATCTATATGGGGTTTAGGGTTTAGGGTTGAGAGAGTTCAAAGGTTCAGGGTTTAGGGGTTTAGGGTTTAGGGTCTAGGGAACAGTACTCCACCCCTATGCCTTCATGTTGGCAACAAGATGCTAGCCCGACGCCTTACCTGCACCCCTTTGATGACATAGACAACGGCATCATGGTAACGAGCCCCAAAAGGTAGGCTATGTAGGGTTCAACTCGCCCCCCAGAGTCTCAAAGCCTTTCGCTACCTACTTCCAGGCGTGGACCTTGAGTCCTAAAGCTTCAAAACCTCAGCTCCTTAACTCCTTACTTGGCTTACTTTAAAGGGTTTAGGGTTCCATGAAGGGTTACTACAAAGGTTCGATGAAGGTTCTATAGTACTTAGAGGCCCAGGGGACATAGTAAGCACACTATCAATAGTGTTTCAAGTACCCTAAATGGAGTTGCTCCAATTATACCCCTACTCATAACCGACTTGCTGAGTCCCCTGGGCCTCTAAGTAACCCAAATCCCAAAGACTGTCAATTATGCTTTAGATCTATACCCGAAAGCAAACCCTACAACACCGTAATAAATGTAGAAGAGTTGCTCAGCATTGTTCCCTTGGGTTCTCAACTACAAGTATACCACACTATGTCCCAAAACACGTCTCTTACATTCAGGCCCCCGTGTTGATGCCTTTTAATTTAAGCCCTAAACCCTAAGCCCTTAACCCTAAACCCTTAAACCCGAAACCCGAAACCCTAAACCCTAAACCCTAAACCCCCAACCCCTAAACCCGAAACCCCTAAACCCTAAACTCAAAACCCTAAAGCCCTGTCTATCCCACTTGAACAGGAAAGCCTGGAGCCTTATCGCGCTGCCTTCCTGGGCATCGACACGGACGGGCTTTTGGATTCTGTTGTTCGGCTAGGCCTCACAGGCTTCGGGGTTAGGGGGGCTTAGTGTTTAGAGTTCAGAGTTTAGGCATTAGGGTTTAGGGTTTTAGGGTTTAGGGTGTAGGGTTTAAGGGTTATAAAGTTTATAGGGTTTAGGGTGTAGTTGCTTGAGCTTTAAGCAGTAAGTTTGCGGGTTTAGGCCTTCGTGTTAGGACTGCGGGAGTTCGCGCTCAGAGCATTTCGGGTGTAAGAGGCACCGACACCGGCAAAAGATCTGGGTTTTCGGGTTTAGGGTTGAGGGTTCTGGGTTTCAGGTTTAATGTTTAGGGTTCGAGGACGGTTCATCCAAGCCAAGCTCTTGGATTACGATTCAGCCACGGTGTACCCTAAGCCCTAAACCCTAAACCCTAAACATGCTGGACGGCCCTCTTGAGCAACCCTATGGCCCGCTGGGAAGACATCAGGAGTGAGATTGAAACGTACGGCCGCTGGACAGCAGGTCGGGAGAATCCGAATCAGTGATTTTACACTTCTGAAGCAAGAAGCTTTAGGAGTGTTGGGTTTACGGTTTCGTGGCCACTGCATCTGAGGAGAGATCAAAGCTTCTTTTAGCACGAGCCGATGGGCGAAAGTGCGTTTGTCATCACATACAATTGCCACGCAAATACTTCCGTATGGACTCGAGGGATGTGAGGTGGAATGGGCCTGGTCTTGAGCAAGGCCCATTCCACCTCACATCCCTCGCAGAAGTGTCTCTGCATGTGGCATGGGGTTTCACAGGTTCTCTTGTTGCAGCGTTCCTCCACTCTACTCGACCAGAAGCAGTTCGTTTCCGTGAGCAGGGACAACCTCACAGCAGAGTCGCAATAATTAAGACCTGCAAGTCATACATGTCTGCAATATAATATAGGGGCCTTATGAACTAGAATAGGGCTTCGGTTTGGGGGTATATAAAACTATACTTATAAGGAGCCCCCCCCAAACCTTATTCTCATCATTAAGGCCCCTACAGTACTACAATAGTCCGATTCTTCTGCGGCCGCACGCCTCCTCCCACATGGGCCCCTGCTGGCAAACGCAGGGTATCCCTGCAATAACATGTCTTGCAAAACTCTATGCTAGTCCTTTCCGCCTAAACCCCTAAATCCTAACACCTCCAAACCCTTTCAGAGGGGCTCAGGGTTTAGGGCTTGAAGGTTTCAGGGTTCATGGTTGAAAGTTTCGGGCTACAGAACCTCCAACTCCTAAAGTTGACTTGGAGGGGTCAGGGGACTTCGTAAGTCGCTTGGATGTAGTGTTACATGTATCCTAACCCTAAGCGGATCTATAGGGGTCCCTTCAAGGGTTTCTCTCAGGGATCCATAGGGGTACTATTATCCGCTAATTACTTCCTACCTAGAGGCCCAGAATACTCGGTAACTAGGTTATAGAAGTATTGCCCTAAATGGAGTTACCCCCAATTATAACCCCGGTTATAACGTATAATAACCGACTTAGTAAGTCCCCTGGGC